ACTATTGTAAATTTTATCTTGCATACATTTTGGTAGTCATTTTTTGTTAGACATTCAGAAATATTTAGTCATAGTCTAAGAGGTAGTAGGCAATTGTGCTTGGTTCTGGGGCTACAAAGAATAAGGTTTCATTTCTTCCTACAAATGGCTTATAGTTTAGATTAGAAATGGGAACACGGGGTTGGCAGTATTCAGTCCTCCTTGAGCAAGAGAAGCGGGAAAGATTTCATTGAAGAGATGACATTTGAGCTGAGTTTTATAGATGAGTAGGTTTTTCGCCACATAAAAGATTAAACTGAAATAAGCCAGTATTCATTAGGCAAATGGAAGAGGCCATTCTAATTAGAGAATTTTGTGTATAAAAAACAGAAGGGAGCCCTGACCGGTTTGGCTCAGTGGATAGAGCATCAGCCTGCAGACCAAAGGGTCCCAGGTTCGATTCCAGTCAAGGGCATGTACGTTGGTTGTGGGCATGTCCCCAGTGGGGGGTGTGCAGGAGGCAGCTGATCGATGTTTCTCTCTCATTGATGTTTCTAACTCTCTATCCCTCTCCCTTCCTCTCTGTAAAAAACAGAAGGGTATGAAAAGGCCTGTTATGTTCAAGTACTTAGCAGCAGTTCAGTGTGGCCAGAGGGTGGTATATGCATGAGGCTATAATGGAAGATTGAGGCAAAGAGGCATCAGAGACCCAATCAAGAATGGTCTTTGTTTATAATAGAGTATAAAAATTGTTTAGGCAGAGGGAAGCCTTTAAAATGTTTAAGTAAGCAAATAACAATGACTGGTAGAGCAGATTTGTGTTATTTAAAAAACACTTTAGTAAAGAAAGATGGATTGCAGTGTTACCAATCGAGTCAGGGAAACCAGTTAGGAGGTTAATGTAATAATCCAAGCAAGAATTGAAAGCCTGAAGTAACCATAGGTAATAGAGATGGACAGGAACAAGTATCTAAAGACATTTGATGGTGGATTGGATTGAGGATCGAGATTGACCTCCTGATTTGCAACTTGTGTAACTAGGCAGGTGGGTAAGATTCCTCTTGATGGGGAATACAGAACAGAAATAATCTGTTTGGGAAGGACAATGACAAGTTCCATGTGGATAGATTGATTTAAAAACCTGTTGGACATCCAGTAGGCTATAGGAATATTGGGTTGCATATAAAATTTTGGGACTTATCAGCATATAATTAAAAGCTTTGAACTGGTGACATTGCCCAGAGAGAGTATTTAGAGCAGGAATTCTTTACTTGAAATCCAAATATCCTAAAATTACCCAAAATGTTACATGTGACTTTTGTTAAGTAAAGGTCCATAGCTTCTTCAAATTGTCAGAAAGGGATAATGTGAAGAGCGGCTAAGGACAGAGCCCTTAGTATCTGCATTCCTTTCAAGTGATGGGCAGGGATAATGGTCTCAGCAAAGAAGGCAGAAGAGGAACAAGAGTGTAGAGAGAATCGTGATATCAAAGCCCACGGAGAATTGTCAAGACGATGAGAACTGAAGAATTGTTGGCTTAGCAATTAGAAGATTGGTAAAATGATTCCTGATAAACAATATGGAATTAAGTGTATATGTATTTAATGGAACTCCCCACAGAAACACCAGGGTTTCTAAGAATTATAAAGAACATTAGCCTATAATAAAAGTTCAGATGCCTTAAGTGTCCAAGGCTATGTTAAATTTTCTATTGCCTTGCCATTACAGTTTTATCTATCTCTTTAATATCTGAACTTAAAAACCAGCCAAATTCATCTCTTCATGTTTTCTGGATACTTCATGCAAATCTTAGTTTTAGGCTTTTGCTTGTGTTTTTCAGCCTGCCTGCCCTGTTCCCTACACAACAAATCCTATTAGTCTTTCACAGTTGAAGTTTGTTCTACTTCCTCTGTGCCCTTTTCTGATTGACCTATATTAATTTCCCTCTTTCTGTTCTAGTGGTATATATTGTCTTTTTGGTTTTGTGGTTAAAATTGTACTGTTTTGCATTATTATTACTTATTTTACATATTATTGCCTTCTTTTACCAATGATATTTTACTCCTGAAGTTAGTATTACCTTACATTTCATCACACCCTCTAGTGACCAAGTTTTCACATACTAATTATTATAGATACTAAAATATTTGAATGAATTTTTAAAAAATATATTTTTATTGATTTCAGAGAGGAAGGGAGAGGGAGAGATAGAAAGAAACATCAATGATGAGAGAGAATCATTGATCAGCTGCATCCTGAACACCCCTCACCAGGGATCGAGCCACAACCGAGGCATATGCTCTGATCGGGAATTGAACTGTGACCTCCTGGTTCATAGGTCAGTGCTCAACCAGTGAGCCACACCAGCCGAGCAAATATTTGAATGAATTTAACCTATAACAAACATAATGGAGTGGAAATGTCTTTAAGAAAAAATTCATATGATGCAATTCAAATTATACAGGAGTAATTTATAGATCATTATTATGACTGTATTTTATTTCTGTGAGTAATCAAGAGTTGATTGTATATCAGAATGAATAAGATACTGATATATCAGACATAAACTTTTTGGCTTTTATTTGGAATTTTAAGGTATTGAATTAATTGAATTTGTTAAGTCAAACTGGTCTTTTTTCTGTTTAAAGTTAGTTTTCAAAATGGAAATATCTTTTTTGGATTTAAAAAATATGCATATAAAAGACAAAAGTCTACAAAGTAGAAATTGCATATTACTTGTCAAAGACACTAATGTTTTATAAGCATCTTTACTATCCATAAATTAAGTAGGTACCAGTGTTACTAAATACAAAGCTTAGTCATTAAAAATGCAAGTTACTCATTGTTTTGGAAGCAAACTTCAGTGTTATGATGTTTTTAATTTTGTTGAATGATAAATTTAGCTTGATCATCTGATTTGAAGCCAGTGTTTCTGTTTCTTTCACTGTTTTCTGGCAACTTTTGGCACAACCCAGGGCTATAGTAGGAAAAGCTGTAACAGGAAAAGAAAACAAGCAAGGTTGTATTGCTTTGTTCTGGAATCAGAAAAGTTAAAACTTTAATAATTAAGGGAAATAGATGTTAGATACTGCCAAGTGGGTCTCATTGTTGCTGAGCAGATACCTGCTAACAATAATCCCAAATTTTAGAAGTTACCTAACAGGAGGGAGAAATCCATGTTACATTTTAGTGAACCAGATTGATAACAAATATATGTCTAGGACTTTTTTTTTTTTCTTTCTGGAATCACATTATAGATATCTATGGAAGTACAGTTTTGTGCATATCCTCACACCATAATTTAACCTTTTTTTTTAAACAGAAAGCATTTTGACCATTTTTTTAAAGAAGCAAAGTTATTTTAATTCACAAGCATTACTGTTTATTGAATAGAAATATAATAAAACATTGAGATGAAAACAGTGGGGAGAAAATAAGTGCACTCACTACCTAGGTGACTTACTCCTTCAAAGCTGCCTCAGTGCTCCTCAGCCCGATTCGTGCCTCCTTAATATGTCTAATACCACATTTCCTAGACCTTCAAGGTTATTTGGCATTATTAAATTATGAATCATAAAACAGTTTCATGGGCATCCTTACTTTATAATAAAAACTTTATTAAAAGTTTCAGGGAAAAATAAATGTAGCACAATTAAGTTTTTATCAATATCTATGAATTAAAATACTATAATTAAAAACTATACAATGCAGTTTAATAACTTTTATGTTTTAGAAGGCATTTTACCTGATGGCACATAGATATATGTTGGTTACGTCAGACGACAAAGAAAAAAGTTGAGAGACTTCAGAATTTTTTTATTATACACACTTGACCATCCAAATTTAAGGGAAGAAAACATAGTCAGGTCACTGGGATAGGGAGGCAAGATTCCAGGTACCATGGTGGTCAACAGTAGTCTGAGGGATAAATAAAAATATTTGATCGTTGGTAGTTTGAATGTCTGCTACCTAATCCAGTCATGATTGAATCAAAGGTAAGAATTCTCTGGAATCATGCTGTCCAATAGAAATATAATTTGGCCTACATACGTGTAATTTTAAATTTTCTAGTAACCACATTAAAATAAAAGGAAACAAGTGAAATTGCCTTCAATAATATATTTAATCCAGTAAATCCAAAATATTTCAATGAGTAATCAATATTTTTAAAAAGTTAAAAAATGTTTTACATTTTTGTGTGCTAAGTCTGAAATTCAGTGTGTATTACACTTAAAGCACAATTCAATTTGGACTTAGCCACATTTCAGGTTCTCAGTAGCTGTATGTGGCTAATGACTATTGGATAGTGTATCTTTAGAACATCTAGGCTTTATGTGCCCATGACATTGAGAAAAAAAACTTGCCTCGTATCTAATTTAAAATATTAGGTTACAGATTTTAGAGGATACCTATATCTGTGCTGGCCAAGTAAGCCTCTAATCTAGGTTAGTTTGGGGACTAGCCATTTGCATGATAAGGATGAATAGTTTTTGTTTAGTTTAATCACCATTCGGTAAAATATTAATGAATTTCTGTACTTTTTCTGTAGGTGCAATTCTTTTGCCTATGGTCAAGCATATTCTGCCACATCAAATTCTATAAAGATTTTATGTAATATACAGAAAAATAGTTTTATTTTTATGATCTGTACATCAATTGCTAGAAATCTGTGATTATATATTCTGAACTTTAAATAAAATAATAATGGATACCTTACTCTCTTTTTTTAATATATTTTTATTGATTTCAGAGAGGAAGGGAGAGGGAGAGAGAGAGAAACATCAATGATGACAGAGAATCATTGATCGGCTGCCTCCTGCATGCCCCCTACTGGGGATCGAGCCCGCAATCCGGGCATGTGCCCTTGACTGGAATCGAACCTGGGACCCTTCAGTCAGCAGGCCGACGCTCTATCCACTGAGCCAAACCAGCTAGGGCATACCTTACTCTTTCCAATATTAAATTACTTTAAATAATTGGGACTGACATAATCTGATTTGTGTTTTCTTTTGTATTTTAAGGATATGGAATATTATCTTGTAAAATGGAAAGGATGGCCAGATTCTACAAATACTTGGGAACCTTTGCAAAATCTCAAGTGCCCGTTACTACTTCAGCAATTCTCTAATGACAAGCATAATTATTTATCTCAGGTAAAGAAAGGCAAAGCAATAACTCTAAACAATAACAAAGCTTTGAAACCCGCCATTGCTGAATACATTGTAAAGAAGGCTAAACAAAGGATAGCTCTGCAAAGATGGCAAGATGAACTCAACAGAAGAAAAAATCATACAGGAATGATTTTTGTTGAAAATACTGTTGACTTAGAGGGCCCACCTTCAGACTTCTACTACATTAATGAATACAAACCTACTCCTGGAATCAGCTTAGTAAATGAAGCTACCTTTGGTTGTTCATGCACAGATTGCTTCTTTGAGAAATGTTGTCCTGCTGAAGCTGGAGTTCTTTTGGCTTATAATAAAAACCAGCAAATTAAAATCCCACCTGGTACCCCTATTTATGAATGCAACTCAAGATGCCAGTGTGGACCCGATTGTCCCAATAGGATTGTACAGAAAGGCACACAGTATTCACTTTGCATCTTTCGAACTAGCAATGGCTGTGGCTGGGGTGTAAAAACCCTTGTGAAGATTAAAAGAATGAGTTTTGTCATGGAATATGTTGGAGAGGTACGTTCAACTTATCACACAGCAAATAATGTGTGTGAACGGTTTACACTTTTAAAAAGTTACTTTTTTATCTCAGTAACAAATATTTGATAAATTTTGATATTATCATTTGCAAATATGCAGAAATTTTACATTTAAAAGAAGGGTCCACAGTTTGGAATTGAATCACTAGCATAGTTATAAATATAAACTTGAATAAACAAAAATATATATGTACATTGACAAATGAAATACAGTCATCTGTCAACAAATACCCATTTATATGTATTTGACATTTGTCAATGTAAGTGACATTTGTAAAGTTTAAAATATGACAACTATTTTTACACTAATTTCTAAGAAGAAAATGAGATCTAGATATATGCTGACTTTGAAACTTTTAAGTTATAATTTACTGCATTCATTTGACCAAATACTAAACAAATTTATTTTTATACATATAATGTGTATATATGCAAAAGTATTATTTCCCATGTGCCACTTACTCTTCTAAGCACCCTATATATTAACACATTAATTCTCTCAACTCTGAGGTAGTGGTATCATCTCCATTGTTATAGGCAAGGAAACTGAGGCACAGAGAAATTAAGTACCTTGCTTTAAAATCAGTGCACTTCACCACTGCTACACTTCCTCAAACTGAATGGTGGGTTAAGCTGTGACTAGAAAAATACGAGTATGACTGCATATCTGGGCTGTCAAATCTGATATTTTAAAAGTTGTTTTGAATTGGATCACCTGATTTTGAGATTACATTGGATCCCTATATTGATTTTTATATTTTTAGACAATGGCAGATTATTATAAATCACTATTTAGGATACTAAATCTTTTATAATTCAATTATTCTCTTTTTTTGGCTTAATAAGCACAGCAGCTAAATTTGGTTGACACTATATATCACCACAGACTTTTTTTTTTTTTTTTGAGCCTTGGTTTTGAATCCTGACTCTTCTTTACTACTGTGTGACCTTGGGCATGGTACTTAATTTCTTTTCTTTTTTTAATATATATTTTATTGATTTTTTTACAGAGAGGAAGGAAGAGGGATAGAGAGTTAGAAACATCGATGAGAGAGAAACATCGGTCAGCTGCCTCCTGCACACCCCCTACTGGGGATGTGCCCGCAACCAAGGTACATGCCCTTGACCGGAATCGAACCTGGGACCCTTCAGTCCGCAGGCCGACGCTCTATCCACTGAGCCAAACCGGTTACGGCCATGGTACTTAATTTCATTGATTTTGAGAGAGAGTGGGAGGGAGGGAGAGAGACTGAGAGAGAGATACATCGATGTGAGAGATACATCGGTTGGTTGCCTCCCACACACATGCTGACCTTGATTTCATCATTTCAGAAATCAGTTCTCCACAGAACTAATTAGTACTGTGTTTAATGGTTTTCCATAGTTGAGAGAATAATTAACTTTGAACCACAGACCCTTTTAATATTTCCAAAGTATTTTAGTACAAGGGCTTCTTCTATTAAGGCATGGGATTATCACTGTATTAGAAAAATTCATTTGGAAAATTCAAAATGCAAATACCATGCATTTTGCAAGTCTTTACATATGTTACTTCACTTAAACTTTCCAACAAAATACCACGTGCGGGTGCGCACGTACAGTGCGATTGAAACTTCGTGGCCCATGCTCAGAAGTCGGTATTTTGTGGAAGAGCCACACTCGATGGGGCCAAAGAGCCGCATGTGGCTCGTGAGCCGCAGTTTGCCAACCACTGAAGGGTGACATATTTTGTTTCTTAAGCTAAGCATGTGGTAAAGCTGTCTTGTTAAGAGCAGAACTGTAAGTGATTGTTTTGAGCTGCCGAATTTCATAAAAACAACCTATTCCTATAAAATGAAACTTTCTATACAATTGACTGCAAATTTAACATACCTTCTCTCCTATATTTTTAATAAATTTCCCTTTGTAACTGCACACAGATTAGTTATAGGAAAAATATCCCTTTAGAGCACATATACTTGTAAACTTAGTGCTTTGCATTCTGTTATGTCCTACAAAGAGCTATAGTTATGTCGGTTTTTGAACATCTCAATAGATTAGAATGAAAGTAGTACATGGTTTCAGCTTCATTGTTAAATGGTCCTAATTCCTATTTAAACAGTCATAATTCTTTGCACCATCATTTCTACTCCCTTTGTTTTCCCGCCTTTATTTGTCTAGCTCTTCTAGAGTCATTTGTGTGAATGTATATTTTGATGACACTTTATTTTTAAACATTGTAGACACTACTATGTTAATTAATAGATTTATGGATGAGAGTTTCTTCACTTCAGCAGTATCTATATAATATACTATAGTTTTTTAATTTTTAGGTAATCACAAGTGAAGAAGCTGAAAGACGGGGGCAGTTATATGATAACAAAGGAATCACATATCTCTTTGATCTGGATTATGAATCTGATGAATTCACAGTGGATGCAGCTCGATATGGAAATGTGTCTCATTTTGTGAATCACAGTGTAAGAAATACGGAAAGTATAGGCAGAACTAATTAGTACTGTGTTTAATGGTTTTCCATAGTTGAGAGAATAATTAACGTTGAACCACAGACACTTTTAATATTTCCAAAGTATTTTAGTACAAGGGCTTCTTCTATTAAGGCATGGGATTATCACTGTATTAGAAAAATTCATTTGGAAAATTCAAAATGCAAATACCATGCATTTTGCAAGTCTTTATATATGTTACTTCACTTAAACTTTCCAACAACTTTATAAGATAGTTATTATCCTCATAGAGGAGGAAATTACTGAGCAGAGGAGTTAAAAGGCAGAAAGTAGAAAGTTTAAGAAACATACAATTATATAGAGGTTAACACAGCTAAATTTTTGGATATATAACTAAAGATAGTTGTATTCTCTTAAAATGTAAACATGTTAACATTTTTATAAGATTTACAAATTTGTAGAGTGTTGAAATAGTATTTAGGGCTATTTTTCTAAATTATAAGTTAGTATTTTTTTTTAAGGGGAGAACGATGATTTTTATTTTTTAAAATATATTTTATTTTTTTTACAGAGAGGAAGGGAGAGGGATAGAGAGTTAGAAACACTGATCAGCTGCCTCCTGCACACTTCCTTACTGGGAATGTGCCCGCAACCAAGGTACATGCCCTTGACTGGAATCGAACCTGGGACCCTTGAGTCCGCAGGCTGACGCTCTATCCACGGAGCCAAACCGGTTAGGGCTAAGTTAGTATTCTTAAGTACTAGTCTTGTGAGATTGACTTCTCCATTTTACAGATTGCAAGGAAATGTATCTCAGAGAGTAAGTTATATAGCTGACCATATAAGGAAGTAGACCATGTTAAACTTTTGATGGATTTTACACCAAGAAGCTAATTTATGGCTAATAATGAAATGCCAGAGACCTTCTGACTCCCTTCTTTTCTGACTTAAATTTTTACTTTAATTTTGTTCTTAATAATAAATTTGAGATACTCCATATCTCCAATATTACATATTCCAGAATTTAGTGTAGAGTTCTCAATATAATCAAACAATTCCAAGCAAGAGTTTAAGTAATGAAACCCCATGCAATATGAAATTTGAGTTCTACAGTACTGACTTGACTTATTAAATGCAGTTGTTCTAATTCTTTAAATATGCCTTACTGAGTGAGATATTAACAGGTGAACTGATAATGTTATCTGGGATTTGCAGTAACATTTTCCAGAAAAATTAAAAAGTCAGGAATAGATGAAACAAGATTGCAAAAATGTTGATAATTTTTGAAGCTGCATAGTGGATTCATGTGGACTTATATTATTTTCTCTAATTTAATGTATGTCTGAAATTTTCTGTAAGTTTGAAAACAGTATTTTTACATATTCATATCTCAGAGACCTCCAAATAATCAATTTCCAGGACATCTTAAGAAAACAAATAGTCTGGGCAACAAAAAATTTTATATGGATGTAGAAGAGTTCATTCACGTAATTTTTACTTAATGGGTTCTAACATTCTTTTTTAGTGTGACCCAAATCTTCAGGTGTTCAATGTTTTCATTGATAACCTCGATACTCGTCTTCCCCGAATAGCATTATTTTCTACGAGAACCATAAATGCTGGAGAAGAGCTCACTTTTGATTATCAAATGAAAGGTATGATTTTCAAGTACAGTTTTGTTGGTGTTAAGTTGTTTTAGTATAAAGAATCTGTTCAAGAATAGGAAAAGACTAGATCATCTGAACCAATATTACAGATGAAAACATTGAAGCTGTAAGTTTGTCTTTTTACTCAAGGTCTCAAAGCTAACCTGACAGCTAAAACTGGAATCCAGGTCTGCCTGACCTTGAGCTGAGTAATGTTATTTCTTCTACATTGCCAACTGCTTTTTTCAGAATTTCCATTATGGAAGCCTACTTATTTTAACATCCTTTCTCAGTACTACTCGTATTTAAAAAATTGTAAGCTTACATTTCTGAATCTTTACTAAGAGATGGATTTTTTTTTCTTTTTCTTTTGTTTTTTGAAATGGATATTCTTAGTAAAGAAAATTGAAAGATTGAAAATTGATTTAAATCACACATGAACTTATTCCATTCCTATTGGAATTTGGCTTTTAAAAAGAACATTTAGTTCTATTTACTTTATTGTGATACTATAAGTGATTTCTTTCCATTGTTTTTCTAAGCATGATGGCTTTTACATATTGTTACTACTTGATTTTATTTATGGCTCTTAAATAATGTATGAAAATGAATAATTGTGTATTGGATTTTCCCAGAAAGTTTCATCATTTCAGAAATCAATTCTCATAAATATGGACTAATAACATAAACTTTACCTCTTATTAGCCTACACCATCCTTTCAAGACAATTCATAATGATTTTTCTCTGAATATTCACATTTATTTAACGCTGAAAATTTGAAACTCATTCTGAATTGTCTTAACTATCTTTCTCCTGTATTTCTTTCTCTACATATTCAGGTTCTGGAGATATGTCTTCAGACTCTATTGACTACGGCCCAGCCAAAAAGAGAGTCAGAACTGTGTGCAAATGTGGAGCTGTGACTTGCAGAGGTTACCTCAACTGAATTTTCAGGAAATAGAGCTGAGGATAAATGTAGTTTTGTTTTTTTCTAATGTTAACATTTTAAAAAATAAATATTTGGGACTCTTTTCATATTATGAAGATTATACTCTGTGTTAATTTACAATTCCTGTTTCAAACTATTGGCCAAAATGCATCATTGATGCTTCTGAAGAGAGGAACACAAGGCCACATAGACCAATTTGAAATATACCTAATTAGTGGTTAGATACCAAACAAGAAAGGAAAACTACTACAGGTCAGCATATACATACTTAAGAAGTCTGTGTGAACAGAGAAATGCCTCCTTCGATGTTTAAGTGTTAAACTGATAATGTCAACGATCACTAAGATCAAACATTCAATTTGCCATATACCTTGAATTTAGAGAACTAGTAAAGTTCTATTTTTGTTATTATGTTGTCATTCTTGTTTACCTATTTATTACTATAAATATTGTACTTGTATTGGAGACAGATAGGTGATACTGAATTATACCCTGTTTTCTACTTCTTTCATTAAAACATTGATATCTTAATGATACTGAAATTTAAGGTCTAAAATTAAATGTGAAAAAAGTTAATTACAGCTTTATTTCATATTTTGAAGCAATTTAGACCATTATTTGAAGGGTATATGTTTGAACCACAATCCTATAGAATAAAAATCTCCCAAGAGCTCTAAAATTCTAGAATAGTTGACCATTAATGCCTCTTGGAAATGACACAGCACTGGGACCAGGAGGTTTTTGTTGGAGTACCAGGCCCGGGAAATGGGGTGCTTTCAGGGTCCTTTTCAAAGACATGAATTGGAGATTCATGTAAGTACTTCTGGTCCAAACAGTAAAACAAGATACTCCTGAGAGCAGCTGTACTTAATATAACATCAACATACACTTTCTGAGTATCAGGCTGTTTTGAACATTTCCTTTCTACCAAATTTAACTATTTTTATATTTCCTGCAAGCTCTTCTTTAAAAATAATCTATATTTTGAACTGATACCTATTTTATATGTGAGTTTTTAAAATGTGACAAAGCTAAACTTGGCTTGGCCAAAGTGTGTGCCTGAATTATGAGACCATTTATTACTTGAACTGTGAAGACTGAAATGGAATATATTCATTGTTGGTTTTGTTTATTTTCCTGAATAGTAAAACCTCAAAACTATGTTTTCATCTCTTTCTGATTCTGGGTTTTCTAATCCGGGTTTTCTTTGTGATTCTGGGTTTTCTAATCATGGTGTTCAACATAAAAGTAAAGGCAGCAAATAAGTCTAGCTCTTGGTATTTCTAAGCTCATTGCCCTAGGCTTTAATGGCCTAAAATAAGCTTCAGTAAAATTGAACTGACTTCAAGAATGCAGCATTTCAAATACTTTCTTTTTAAAAAAGTATTTGTATTTAAAATATCTTCTTAATCCCTAACCTCTTTTTTGGGGGGAAAAGCTACATTTCATTATTATATTGTTATTAGGACTTTGCTCTTTCATAATACAGGGTAAACTGTTTACATGTTTAGAACTTCAGAGTATATTTGCTAACCAAAATTTGCAGAAGGTGTGAAAAAAAAAAATACTGACATGGTATCAGTGTTGAGAGAGCATCATTGATTTTACAGGTTGCTCCCCTTGGCCAAGCATTCTTTGAATTATAATTGGTAAGTTTAAAGATGTGATTTTCATTTTTTAAAAGTCTGTTTCACTGCCTACTTAATCTTGTCTTTTTGTGTTAAAAATATAAAACAGGAGGGCAAAGGGAAAATGGCTATTTTCAGTCAACTGTATTGTTATTAATAGAAATTTAATGGGCCTTTGAGATTTTAATTACCTGTGTTACCCTTACGTTATTAAAAAGCTGAACATTAGTAGAAAAATCAACATTTAGCTTCTTTACATTAGTTTCCTAAGTTGTCATAATTTTTTCTCTCAATATAAAGCAAATATTCAGAGGTAGTATTTAGATCAAGTTTAAACTGTCAGTTAATCCACTGTAGAAGTACTGTTAATACCATTGTTTTCGGTTTCTGCATATGAAGATTGTGATACACAATTGGTAATCTCAGGATTTTTTCATATATGCAAAATCTATACAGCACTTATTTTTCTTATATTTCAATAGTTTTTCTTTAGCAAATAAATGTAGACATTTGATTTTCTATTTATCATGGGTTAGCTTTGTTTCTGAATATATTACTGTCTTTTCCAGGCTACAAAAAGGATAGAAAAATACTGATGTATTCCTGACTACCTGCTGTTGAGGTTAACCAAAGGTTTATATACCATTCCTTTCCATGTTAGATTTCTTTTTAAAAAGTTTATCGTTGTCATGGTTCATGCATTTGGATATTAAATTTAGCATAATGTGAATGGATATTTCTCAAAATTGTTTGAGCATTATTATCACCAGGTATTTAAACTAGTTTCACTAAACACTGCCTAGAACTGCAAAGGAATTTTAGAATTAGAGCTAAGAAATATTCCTTGAGCAAGTCTTAGGTCTTTATACTATGTACTCATAAATCTATGAGTTTGGTGCTGTCACCCCTATAGTACACCAAAGGAAGTAGGTTTAGACTGATTAAGTAATATTAACATCCCCAAGATCACCCAGTAAACTATACCTATATTTAATTAACATCTCAGGCATACTTTTTTTAAAAAATCAATTTCTACTATGAGTTTAGACAAACTTCTAAGCCTTGGATTCATCTCTAAGGCAAATGGGGCTAGCCACTGGATTTCTTCTGTGACGTATCTTGGCATTTTGAAACTTTTTTGCCTTTCTAGTACTTTATAGTTCTTGGAGTAAAAAATCAAGTAGTCACTATAAATAATCCTGTTCACTGTTATTCTTTTTGAGGGGCCTTATTGCATAGTGATTAAGAGCATGGACTCTGGGGCCTGAATTGCCTGTATTTGAGTCCTGGCTTCAACCTTTACTAGCTATGTAAACCAACCTCTCTGTGCCTCAGCCTCCTCACCTGTGAATAGGAATAATGAATGTATTTACATACTTCAAAGGGTGTTGTGAGGATTAAAGGAGTTAATACACAGTGTGTGAAAGAATTAAGCATTATCACAGAGAAAGCACCATATGTATTAGCTGTAATTATTCTGTACCTTAAGTACAGTATATAAACCTGTACTGATGTTTAAATTACAGGTTTATACAGTGACCCTTGAGCAACACAGGTTTGAACTTGGGGGTCCCATGTTCAAGGGTCAACTGTATAAAGCTGTACTTTAACATCTTTTGTGATCACTACAAGTATTTTGATCAAAACTGTTCTAGTGCTCTTAGTCCTTAAATTCATTTAGTCGGCATTTATTATGCCAGACTTACATATAAAACAATAAAAATTTGGCAGTATATACTATTACATGGATGGTGCGATTTTAAAATGCTAAGAATATATTCAGAATAATGTTTACAGGCATGTTTTGAACACTTCCTCGCCTCTTGGATCACAAGCTACACTATTAAGATGTCAGCATATACAAATGTGTATATTCGATTGCATGATTTATGAGAATGAATTATAACTAATTTTTAGAGCTATAAATAAAATATGAAGTCTTTGGGTTTCAGTAATGGACCTATTATAATTATGACCAGATATTCAACCAATGATTTGCAATCCTCATTGGTTCTTTCCAGAGACTTTATACTCACTTGGAATTTAGGAAACAGTACTCAGATGGGAGGTGGACAAAATGAAATGACTCACAGTGACTCTAATGCTGCCCCTCATATAAGTCTGTAGAATGTATTTCATCCAAAGCTTAGAGCAGCAGCCAAGCTAGAAAAAATGGGTCAGTGATCCCTTAAAACCCCTTGTATCTTTCTTACTTCCTTTGCCCCAGGTTTCTTACTGTGCTCAGACCACTCCCCATGGGCATACATATTAATAAAACTTACTGCTGAATAATTTAGAATAGACACTTCTCTAAAATCATGACCCAACATTTCCTCAAAGACCAATCAGAAATGACCAGGCCCTTACGCTCAGCCCTATCCCATCAGTTTCTTCCCCTCATCCCTCCTCTTGTGCCAGTTTAACTGAAATGTGAAGTCACTGTGCAGTTTTTCCCCCATGTAAATGGACGGGCAAATCTGTCCTAACACAGTGATGGTGAACCTTTTGAGCTCGGCGTGTCAGCATTTTGAAAAACCCTAACTTAACTCTGGTGCCGTGTCACATATAGAAATTTTTTGATATTTGCAACCATAGTAAAACAAAGATTTATATTTTTGATATTTATTTTATATATTTAAATGCCATTTAACAAAGAAAAATCAACCAAAAAAATGATTTCGTGTGTCACCTCTGACACGCGTGTCATAGGTTCGCCATCACTGTCCTAACACATACCCTTCTGGAGAAATGAGAGGGCTGGCTTTGTGGGTCCTCTTAGCATTGCTTCCTCTGAGTACTCAGTTTACTTTCCTCTCCCACTAACTCTAAGTCTTGTAACCCTAATTAGTCTGGTGGACCCAATACTTATTGTTGATCTATTTATCTTGCAGCATGGTGATAATGTGTATCATTGTTAGTGTAACTGATCTGCAAATTGTTTTAGAGACTCTATTTAAACTAGTTTTAAGTGAAATCTCTGCTTTTGCTGCCCTAATCTAAAAAATGTCAGCATACCAAAGTGCTTATTAATGTTCATTAAAATGTTATTAAATACACATGTAACTGCAAAAGCATATCCTATTGGTGGACTTTAGAAAAGTTGAATGACTCACAGAACACATGTATATACTTTTGGCATTTAATTGTTTTAAGTGGTGTAACATCTTTTGAGGTAAGTTCAGGGCTGAATTTTCCTATAACCCTCAGTTTATAATAATAGCCAAGTTTATTCTTTCAATTTTAAGTATTCCAATGACCCAGGATATGATCTATCTTGGTGAATGTCCCATATATTCTTGAAAAGCATGTATTCTATTGTTGGATTGAGTATCAATTGAATCCAGTTGATTGATAGGTGCTATTCATGTCTTCTCTATCCTTGCTGATTTTCTGTAAGCTAATTGTTACTGTGAAAGGAATGCTGAAGTCCCAGCTATAATTGTGCATTGGTTTGTCTCTCCTTTCAGTTGCTTCTCCTTTGTACAGGCATACCTCATATTATTGCACTTAAATAGTGCATGCTCATTAACGTCAAAGCAAGACCCTCCACCAGCAAAAGGGTTACAACTTGAAAGCTCGGACAATAGTTAGCATTTTTTTTTTTTTTTTTTAGCAATAACGTATTTTTAAAGTAAGGTATGCTGGTTTTTGTTTTTTTTAGACATAATGCTATTACATAATAGGTCACGGTATAATGTAAACATAACTTTTATGTACACCAGGAAACCAGAAATGTCATGTGACTTGCTTTGTTGCAGTGGTCTGGAACTAACCTGCAATAGCTCCAAGGTATGCCTGCATATTTTGAAGCTGTTGTTAAGTACATACACATTTAAAATTGTATCTTCTTGGTGAACTGCACCTTTTATAGTCACTCCACCTGTCTATTGAGTAGTGTTTACATGGTATATCTTTCATCCTTTTACTTTTAACCAA